TGAATCATACTTTAATCTCCTGCCCTGGGCCATGCAGACATTAATTATGGAGCATTATTTAGAAGCTCAGGTGAATGCGCTGCTCAAGCTGCTCATTAGAATGGACTCCTTTGTGCTGAAATTCCACGAACACTGTCATTTCTAAGCAACAGAGATCTCCTTCTCCAGCAGCAAGATTAGCTTGATTGCTCTCATTTAGGCCCTGAGGAGACAAGAATGGAGGATTGTTTCCTCTGAGACCGAGCCCTTCCAGCAGCTAGAATTCCAGAGGCAGGAGTGACCAGCAGGCAGCCTGAAGGTCAAAGGCGGCCCATCTGACCTCAGGGGCTGCTCTGCTTGAGAGTTATGGCAATATAACAAAGCTAACCTAATTAGCTAGCACAGGCTGGTGGGATCTTATCACCTGTTCAGGGCTCCTGGCCTGAGGGGCTGTGCAAGGTATCAGGCCACCAGGCTCTGATCAACTAGTCATTGTCACTCCTGCCAAGTGTAACTCATTACTGTTCAAGTTTATTTCCTCCAACAGTACATCCTGAGACAGGTGTGTTCCGAAGCGCCCTGACACAAAGGGAACTAGCTGTGTATAAAGCCTCCATGTACACCTGACTCACATTTGAGGCATCCCCAGGGCTTAGAAGCCAAAATGTGGACCCTCTCAGTTCACATCATTGTGTACAAAATGGATGCAGCATCCACACACCAGGGCCAGGACCTGGGGGAGGCCAACCAGGTGCCTAGGGTGCAGAGTTTAAGGAGACGTTCATTCGCAGGTTCCTGCAAGTGCAGAGTTGCCACCTGAGAGTGAGTGCCTCCTTAAATTTGTGCCTTAAGTGCTTCACTTGCCTCACCCTAGTCTGGGCCCTGCCACACACTCATTTCTGATCATGTGGCCCATAACATGACATTAGTGGAAAGAGTGTAGGCTTTGGAGTTAGAAAGCTTTAGTATGGACCTTGGTTCAAGCTGGGTGACCTTGAGTGAGGTATTGAACCCCAGTGAGATGCTAACCTGAGCCTCAGTTTTCTCCTCTGCAAAATGGGATTAATAATACCTGGTCCACAGAGGGAGATCCGGAAACAGTCATGTTTAAACAAGTCTCCAACAGTCAAGTGGGAACAGTTGTCTCAGCTGATTAGACAGGTACCAGTCTTGGGGATTTCCTGCTGCAGGCCCCTGCTGCTGTCTAGATCATCTCCTCTCCCTTGCCTCCTTTTTCCTTCCTAACTTCCTCACCGGACTGGTGGTCAGGGGCTGGAAGGGATGCTCCTTAGTTGTTCCCATGCCTACACCGTACTCTCTTGGTGGGATTGGGGAAGTCAGACTGGTTAGGGCAATGCCCTGCACTTGTACCATTTTCTCTCCCCTGCCCCATCTCGTGGCTGGGACACCAGCCTGGAACAGCCGGGGGGCTGGGTGATTTTCCCATGAGATGTCAGATGCCCTGCAGCTTTATAACATTCGTCTGTAGAGGGGCTTTGCTTACCTTTCAGACTTGAAGGGGAAGGAGAGAGGCAGGTTTGGCAGGAATAGGAGGGAGCTAGCTCCTGTTCCTTCCCACTCCTCAATCCCTAGCAATGCACGTTCTTCAGGTCCAGGAGCAGGGGAGAGACTTTGGCCTGCTCTCCTGTGGGGCAGGGAAGAGGCAAACCCTGTTTCAAGGTGGTAGCAGTGGAGAGGAAAGGAGGCCAGCCCATCCTGGGTCTACAGACAGAAAGAATTTGACCTTGACTGAGTAACTGAGTTTAGAGGAAAAAGTAACTCCTAATCTTTCCCTTACGTCTGCTAACCAAAACGTCAGCAGTTTGAATCCACCAGGCACTCCTTGGAAACTCTATGGGGCAGTTCTACTCTTTCCTATAGGGCTGCTATGAGTTGGAATCTACTTGATGGCAACGGGTTTAATTTTTACCTACTTACAGCCTTCCTAATTGCAATTGATGGCAGCTCCACCCTTTAGTTGCTGAGGCCAAGAATTTTGGAGTCATCGTTGACTCCTTTCTTTCTCTCACACTACACATTAAAGCTGCCAGGAAATTCTCTTGGCCCTTCCCACAAAATACATCTGGTGTCTGACTGTTTCTCACCACCTTCTCTGAAAACACCTTGCTCTGAGCCACTGCCATCTCTTGCCACGGCCTCCTAGCAGCTGTTCCTGCTTCTACCCATGCACCCCTGCAGTAGACTCAACATAGCAACTCAGGTGGCTGTTACCCTGTGAAAACGTTAGATCCATGTTACAAATGCATGCAGTAGCTCCCCATCTCCCACAGAGTAATGGCCAAAGTCCTTATAATGCCCCATGGATGCTATATGATCTGCCCATCCCTCAACCCCTACCCGTCTGTCTTTCTCTCCGACCTCTGCTCCTTCTCTACTCACACTGGCCTCTTGCTGTTCCCAGAAGTCATGCACACTCCTTTTTTAGAACTTTTACTCTAGCTGTTCTCTTGATCTGGAATGTTCTCCTGATATCCAATTGGCTGACTCTCACTTCCTTTGAGTCTTTGCTGCCTTCTCACTGGGGCCTCCTTGACCACCATTTTAACATGGCAATCTTCCCGACCATTCTGCCCAGTACTCCCCATCCCCTTACCCTATTTGACTTTTTCTCTTTTCTGAAGCACTTATCACCTTCTAATATACTGTATTTTTCTAATATACTATGAACAGCATTTATTATGATTATTGTTGGTTGTCTGTCTGCCCAGCTAGAATGTAAGCTTTTGGAGGGCAGAGGTCTTTGTTTTGTTCACCGATGTATTCCAAATGCCTAAAACCATGCCCACCACAAATTAAGTGCTCTAAATATATATGTACATGCATATGTATATATGTATTTGAATAAATGAAGTGGCCACAAGAGTTACAAGGGTAGGAGGTCCTCTCCTAATCTCAATCCTAACCCTACTCCAACCCCCTCCCCCAAGTCCCCAGATCTGTCCTCATCCCCTGAAATCCCTGTGCCTGCCACTCACTGCCAGGCCCTGGAGACCGTGCAGCCAGTGTATGGGGGGGTTTCTGTCTCCCCCCCATAGTAGGCAGGTGTTCACGTGTCCCAGGATGGAAGACTATAGGTGGAAATAGAGGCATCTCTGACCCAGCAGTGCTCATTGTGCTGCATATGCCCGCCCCATGGATCAGAGAGGCTTTGGTGGGTCAGGATGGGGGCTTACTTCATCCTTCCAAGTATCTTTTTAATGCACCTTTGGGATGCAACCTACTTGTGAGCTGTGGGTTGACAGTGTTAGTAAACTTAAGACTGATGAGTCCTAGGCAAGACTGTGAAGTGGGCACTTCTGTTTCCAGTGCCCCCTGGTCTGTACCGTGTTGTATGGATTGTCCCATTGTTCCCTCCCAAGGGTCCATGAGGACTATACTGTTGTTAGCATCACCTTGCAGGTGATGACACTGAGACTCAGGGGGTTAAGTCACTTCCTAAGATGACACAGCGCTTAAGTGATGGAATCAGGCTTTGAACTCAGGCCTGTGAGACTGTGGAGCTCTTCTGCCATCTGTCATATCCCAAACCCTTCCTCTACTCTAAGATTTGATTGACAGATAAGAAAGTACCACTCACCCATCTCCATCCAACTAGTCCCCAGGTTCTGCTGATGTTACCTCTCAAATGCTTCTTGACTCTGGTCGCTCCCTGTCTTCCAGAGCCCAGGAGTATCCTTTGGTTAGCATTCAAGGCCTTCCATGTTCCACCTATGTCTCCGGCCTTCCCTCCACCACTCTTAGCCTCAACTTTATGCTGTCCTAATAGTGGGCGATGTGTGCTTTATTCTGACACACCTGCCTGCCCCCCTCTTCCTTCACCTTCCCACCTTGCTTCACTTGGTTTACGTTGCACTCAGCCTCTGAGATCCAGCTCAGGTGTCATCTCCACGACTCTTTGTAAACTCCCAGGTTGGGCACAGTGTCTTTGGCTGCACTTCTCTAGTGTCCTGTGTGTAATTTTATCGTAGCACTTAGCTTATTATCCAGGCGTGTCTCTGGGACTGGGACTTCTAGATCATGAGTCCGTTCATCTTTATGCATCTAGCATCTAGCTCATCACCCAGCCCTTACTAAGCCCTCAGAAAGTGCCTATTCTAGGTGTTATGTCTTTATTAACTCATTTAATCCTCATGATTGTTTGTAAGAAAGGTGCTATTATCCCCAGTTTACAGATGCAGAAACTGAGACTCAGAGTGTCAAAGTAGCTTGCCCAAGGTCGCACAGCTGCTAAGAGCCAAGGGTATGATTCATTTGAACCGAAATGTGTCTAATTCTGGGATCAGGTTGCCTCACTTATGGAGTCTGTATAAATCGGATGGAAGATTTCGGTTAAAAGCATTAATCTCTAAAGGTGGAATTTGGGGGCCTCGACCAGTGGGTGAGGGTAGGAGTTAGGAAGGAGAGGAGGTGTGTAGCCTGCCTCCCTCGAAGAAGTGTCCACTCAGCGGCTGGGCAGGGTGATAGTTCCGCTCAGCCCTCTCTGCACTGCAGGCTGACGTATCCCCCAGCCTCGGATCTCCACAGAGGCCTTATTTCCGGCTCTCTCTGAGTCACCTTTGGTTTCACTGTCCTCTCTGCATCCACAGCCCTGGCAGAGTTTGGGGAAAGTTACCTTGATGTCCTCACAGGCAGGAGAGTTTGCCCAGGTCACAGATCACACCCTTGCCCCGATTGATGCTACTTTCGCATGGGCACACTCTGCAGGTCTGTCTCATTCCAGTCTGCCTGTCCTCTGGTTTTTATAGGTGGTGTACTTCACGGCCACGTTCCCCTATGTCGTGCTGGTGATCCTCCTCATCCGAGGAGTCACGCTGCCTGGAGCTGGAGCTGGGATCTGGTACTTCATCACGCCCAAGTGGGAGAAGCTTACGGATGCCACGGTGAGCTTACATTGCACTGATAGCCCCGGAGGGGGCATGGGCCACCCATGGGGGGAGTCACACTCTAGGACACTGTTTGGCAGGAGGAGTTAGGCTTCCTTCCACAGAGGCTCTCATGGGAGTGGAAGGTGGCTATTTGCTTTTACAACGCCTGGGTAATCTTCGTACATGATGAACTCAGGAAATCTTTAATGAGAACTGGGCAGCTGGGGGTTTTCAGGCTCCTGAAATAGTTGTCCTACATCTGGCATTGCTCTGGAGGCTGAAATGAAGAATGAAATCCCTTTAATAGCTTTGGGCCACCTCACACCGCTTTTCTGTTAATTACTTATATTGTGTCAGAAGTATGGTTTTGTTGGTTGGAAAATAACAGCACTTAGGCAGACCACAAGCAATTCTATTTTAAAGGGCTCAGACACATTTGAGTATTTCTGGCAGGTGACACAGGGCCAGCAAATACTTGAACTTTCTCTTTGCACATTTGGTACTGGCATATCTCATTCTAAAATTCTCAACACACGCAACTCCAAGTGACTCAAAAGAAAAAAAAAGGTAGTAAGGTCAAAAGGTAAAATATATCGTGTGTATGGCAAAATATTAAAATCTATTCATTCTTGGTGGACACATAAATAATATATTTGGGGATTTTTTTTGTATGTTTGAAATATTTTATAATTTAACATCTTATAATTATTTTTTAAAATAAAAATTCAAGTGTGAAAAAAACTTTTTAATATGAGGAGGTGATTGTTTAGATGAAAAGAGGGTTTTCTCACTTTAAAGAAAAATCTACCTCTCTAAAGTGTGTTAAAAACATGTAGCTAGGATTGAGTTTTACTGCACGTAACAGAAAACCTCTGATCACTGTGGCTTAAACAAGATAAAAGTTTATTCAACTCTCATGCACAAATGTAGTCCAGGGGTAAATAGTTTAGGGCCAGTTAGGTGGCTCATGGTGTCATTGAGGACTCATGGTGTCATTCTGCCCCACCATTCTCAGTGAATAGCTCCCATATAGCTGCTAGCGCTCCAGCCGTCATATCTGCATTCCAGGTAGCAGGAAGGGTGCAGATGATAATAGAGAAAGGCACCCTCCCTCTCTTTCAAGGCAGAGAAACCCCAGAAGTCCCACATAACACTTAATTTTCAGACCACTGGCCAAAAAATAAATCATATGATTATCTTCCCTTACCTGCACCCCTTGTCCCCTAGAGGCTGGGAGACAGTCATTTAGCTAGATGTGTGGCCACCTTTAAATAAAACCACAGTTTTGTTACTTGAGTTTTCTCTTTGCATTTTTAAAGCACAATTTAAAAACAGGATTTAATTTATAAAAATGATGGGAGGCTCATCATATAAATCTATAGCTCAGACTCAAAATCTTTGGAGTTTTATGAGGACAATTAAGAAGAACCACCTAACAGAACCAAGAGGTGTGGTCAGCCAAGTTCAAGGAGGATGTGGAAGTATAAAGTCTACTCTGCTGTAGCACAGAAATTGCCTTACAAACATTAGCGACTACAGAGTTTCCGAGTTTCAATAGCAGGTTTTTTTTAAAATTGTGGTGAAATATGTATAACAAAACGTTTGCCATTTCAGCCATGTTTACATGTACAGTTCAGTGATGTTAATTACGTTCACTATGCTTTTCAACCATCTATCTGTTTCCAAATTGTTTCATCACCTTTAACAGAAACTCAGTTCCCCTTAAACAGTTCTTCCCCATTTCCCCCTCCTACCTGCCCCTAGTAGCCACTAATAAACTTTGGCTTCTATCAACAGCAGTTCTTTTAATTTGTGGGACTTTCAGTTGAAAAGGATTTTTACTTTGGACTCATGAATTTATTTTGCTGTTGTAAATTGGTTCTTGACAGATATTGAGCGAAAGAAAGAGCTCTCTCCTGGACAGTTTTGTTATTGTGGTTAGGTGCCAGTGAATCGATTTTCAACTCAGTGACCCCATGTGTCAGAGTAGAACTGCCCTACAGGGTTGTCTAGGCTGTAATCTTCATGGGAGCAGATCACCAGGTCTTTCTCCTGAGGAGCCGCTGGGTGGGTTCCAACCGCCAACCTTTCATTTAACACCTGAGTGCTTAACCGTTGCGCCAGCAGAGCTCCTTCTGAATGGTTCTGTGTGGTAGGAAATTGAATCATAAAATGCATGTGCAGTTTATTGAGCTCCTCTCCTTTGATTATAATGGAATTAAAATGCCCAGGTAATTTGCTGCTTTTTTGGCTTCCAGTGCAAATGATGTATGTTTCTTATTTATTTTGGTGTCCAAAGTCATCTTGTCCCTGGCTGCCTTTCTTTTGGGGAGGTAATACAGCATTGGGCGTGTGAGACCATCTCCCACAGAGCCTATTTCTCAGTGACCCTGAATCTTCTCCCCTTTGGCTTCCCAGGTGTGGAAAGATGCTGCCACTCAGATTTTCTTCTCTTTATCTGCTGCATGGGGAGGCCTGATCACTCTCTCTTCTTATAACAAATTCCATAACAACTGCTACAGGTATGTGGAGGGACTTTCAAGGCCGAGAGGTAGCTGGTGAGAGGAAATAGGGTCTGGGGGCACGCAGTGGCCTGAGAATCCACACCCTCACGCTTCACCTGAGGGAGAGCCAGAGACTTGCCTCCGGCAAAGGGAAAACCACCTGCTAAGGCCTAGCTGCTGGCTTCTGGGGGCCTGGACCCCGCCTTGCATTGCTGATGGTGACACGAAGCAGGGGCTGAGTGACTGTTTCTAAAATGGAATCGAGCTTCTCTGGAGGTTGCTGTGCGGCCAGCTGTGTTTTGTGGTAGTCGTTTGTGAGCCACCTAGTCCGCGGACACCGTCAGATGGTAGTCACTCGTCACTCGGCAGAGGCAGCACAGTGCAGAGGAAGGAGCACTTGGCAGTCAAACAGACATGCAGGGGAAGGATGACGTCACCATTTACTAAAACTCCAAGACACTAGAGAAGGGAGTGCATGCTTCACTTCTCTGATTCTCCATTTCATCTTCTATAAAATACAGATTCTAATGTTTTGTTGAGGGCTAAGGCAATCTATACAAAGTTCTCAGTACAATCCTTGGTGCATAATAGTAGCTCCCATTCTTTAGGGCAGCTGCAGCCCAGACATTAGTAGGTGCTCAGTAAACGACAGCTATCACTGTTATTATTATTTTTATAATGGATGAGATATTTTGTGAACCAGAAGAGATACAGAGAGTTTCAAAGCATATCGCTGCCCTCAAATAGCTTGCCATCTAGGTGATGAAGTGCAAGGTGACTGGTGTGGGTTTCAGACTCAGATTGTCTTTTAACCTCACAAGACACAATAGGCTTATTGAACACAAGTTTGCTTGATTTTAAGAAAAGATGTGTATGGAACAGAGAGGACAGCTACATACATAGCAACAGCATTGTGGCGGCCCCAAGGACCCAGACTTGGCTTCCAGTGTCTGAAGCACTTCACAGGGCCTGTTTGGGAGTAAAAGGTGATGATGAGAGCTGATGTGAGTGCCGATCACATCAGGACAGGGGATGTCCCTCAGCTTAAATACTTTGTGGCCACTTGGCACCTGAAGGGGTGCAGCCTAGCTCCCACACTTTAGCGCAGCTGCAGCCCATACATTATAGGTTACACATTAAGCAGTCCTAATGACTAGGTTACAGCATGCTCAGGGACATGCTTGGATCGATAATCAGTCCATAGAAGCCACCATGGGACCCTAGTTTATCTCCAGTGAATGCATTCATTCACTTGATGTTGCCAGAACTTTGATTCAGGGTCAAACTTTCCTCAAGTATCTCTGAAGCTAGAGGAAAAGATTGCAGTTAAGCTGTGGGCTGGAACGCTAAGATGGTCTCACAGAGGTGAGAATCATACTGGGCCAAATTCCAGCAGGTGCAAGGGAGGAGGGAGTGTATTCCAGGTGGCAGAAACAGCCCAAGAATGTTGTGTGACAGAGGTCGTGTGGAGGGAGCAGGTGGATGGGATTGGAGCAGGAGTGTGCACTCAGGACTAGAAAGAAATGGGGCCTGAGAGTTGGTTGAAACGAGACTGGAGAGAGCCTTGAAAGCCAGACTAACTGATGACCCAAGAATGGGTCTGAACACTCTCAGGGGGTGCAGCATTGCTACGTGCTCTACTAGAAATAAGGCTGTGTGGCATGGCAGAAAGAACCCAGGGCTGAGAGCCAGGACATCTGCATTCAAATTCTGACCCACCATTAATTAGGCCATTGTCTTTCCCTTTCTGGGCCTCAGTTTCCTCATTGGTAAACTAAGGGGTTGAACAAGGTGGATCATTTACTGAGCACTTACTTTGTGTCAGGCTCTGTGCCGTCTGGGCATCATCTCATTCTGTCCTCACAACAGCCTATGAGGAGGGAGGTCATTGCTGCCATTTTACCTAGACTAGAAAGGAAGCAACTTGCTCAAGATCATACAGCTAAGAGGCAGGACAAAGAGGATTTGAATGTAGCCCAGAGGCTCCATCTAGCTGTAATCTCTCCTTTGATTCTGGGGATGACTGGGCAGGGCAGGCTGGGGAATTGAGGGCCATATTGGCAGCAGAGGGCCCTGGGATAAAGGCAATAATATCTGTCTTCTCTCTTCTCCCTTTTCCCTTGCCTTCTTAGCTCTGTGTGCCCCAACCCCAGCAGCCCTTACTAACTTGGGGTCTTTTCATGGTCCTACCATCTTCCCTTCCCTCATACACAGTTCCTGTCCTGGACCCTTCCTCCACCCATCAACCCTTGCTCTACTGGACAGACGTTTCCCTGTCACTGAAATGAAGGGACCGAATTGTACAGCTCATGGAGCCAGCTTTGCCCAGAGGCCCTAGAACGGGGCAGCAAGGCAGATCTCTTCGTATTTTATAAATCAGCCCAAGGGAGTCTGTGTTCAGGACTGGTTGTTTCTTTCCTTGTGAATAACAGAAAATGAGGCCCAACCCACGGTGGATGAATGTTTAGAAATGGCTCTCTGTCCCTACGTGGACATGCATACAATGCACAATTGTACACATGTGCACACACGCACACTCATACGCACAGGCATGCGTCTTTGTGTTTTTCCCCTTGTCCTTTCCCACTCACAAAGCAAAACTAACAGCAAACTCTGGTCCCTTCCCTCCAGGGACACCCTAATTGTAACCTGCACCAACAGTGCCACAAGCATCTTTGCTGGCTTCGTCATCTTCTCCGTTATTGGCTTCATGGCCAATGAACGCAAAGTTAACATTGAAAATGTGGCGGACCAAGGTACGTACAATTGTCACCCTGCTGTTGCAGGGCAGGTTTCAGGCTGACCGCATGAGTTTCTAATTTATGCTGCAGTGGGACATGGGCTTTCTGGAACAGTGTGGAAGGTGGAGGAGCCCAAACCTCCCTTTTCAGAGAAACCAAGGCAGGCTTGAGTGGGAAGCTCACTGCTAGGCTAGAGCTGGCTGGCTGGTCCCTGACTGGGGAGATTGCGTTAAAATTCCCCTTTCCTGCTTCTCCCTGGCTCCATCTTCCCTTCCCATTCTTAATTTAGCTCCCAACCAATTGCTCTTGAGTCAATTCCAACTAGCGACCCTATAGGACAGAGTAGAATTGCTCCATAGGGTTTCCAAGGCTGTAATCTTTACAGAAGTAGGTTGCCACATCTTTCTCCTGCAGAGTGACTGGTGGATTTGAACCGCCAACCTTTCGGTTGTCAGCTAAGTGCTTAACCACTGTGGCACTAGTGCTCCTTTTAATTCAGCTCTAGCTGAATTGGCCTATAAATATGGGCTATACCTATTCAATACAGGTGGAGGACTCATTAGGCAAACCAGTGCCCTCAAGCTGATGTAGGCACAGCCTCGCAGGCTGGCATCCCTTGTTGAGGGCCCTGGAGAAACGGAGCACTAAGGCTTAATCAGAGCACTGACTTCAGCGTCGCCTTTTCCTTACAAACCACTTTCCTGATTGTTAGGTTGAATGTGCTCTCAGGGCCTTCTGCTTAGTTAGCAAAGCAGACGTGCAATTTTTCGCCAGTGGGTGGAAAGGTTGAAGGGTGATAGTGAGAGGGATGTGGAATAAATGTTTATTCTCTGCTCAAAGTGATCCCTCTATTATGGCTAACATTAGTATGGTACTTTTGAGTTTGCAGAGAGCTTTCATTTTTCTCTTTTAATCCATACTTCTAGCAGAGCATTTTGCAGACAGAGTGTTTAATATTTGTATCTAACTCTTTATTGCCACCCAGCCTTTTTGTACAAAACCTGTGTTTATTAGTTTTCAGTGACTGGAGCGCTTAATTGTGGCTATTACCAGGGACAATGAAGTCCCTAGGTGGCGCAAACAGTTAAGCACTCTGTTAACCGAAAGGTTGGCAGTTCAAACCCAGCCAGAGGCGCCTTGGAAGAAACGTCTGAGAATCTGTTTCCAAAACGTCACAGCCTTGAAAACCCTATGGAATGCAGTTCTATTCTGCACACATGGGATCTCCATCATCAGGAATTGATTCGAGGGCAACTCGTTTGATTTTTTTTTGAATTACCTGTTATTATGATCATACTCTCTAATCAGACATTTATGGGATGCCTGCATGAGTCCGTGCCGTGCCAGGTGCTGTGAGGACATGAGTGTGGAGACCTAGATAATCCAGAGTGTGTACCTGGGAGAGGGCTCTTTGTGCAGTTATCCTTCAAGGAGCTCACTGTGTTTTTCAGATAATGGCTCAGATTTGAGCGCCGGAGAGAACTCAGCCCTAGAAATGTCACCCCTTTGGTGGGCTGCCTGATCTCTTCTGGCTCCCCAAGGATAATTAATAACTGCCTCAGCGCACTGATAGTGCACCGGGGGCCTCAAAGAGTTAAAGAGTCAGCTTGTTCCGGGGGTGTAATTATCCCTCTCTGGGGAATGCGTTAAACCCCGAGGGAGGTTTGGTTCTGCAGCAGTGCTTTAAATTAGAAGGGCCCCTGGGAGCTGAGTGAATGCTCCTGCCCCCGGATGAGAACTCTCCAACTTCCTGAGGAGGAAATGAGCTTTGTCTCCAGGGGTGCCTGCGCTACCCCAGCTGTCCTGTAACCTCATTTCCTCCCAGCAGAGTAGCTGGAACAGGTACGTTTTGCCCCACTTTCTAGCAGATCTGAGGCATTTTGCTATTTTTGTGATGTTACTGAGCTCATTGTGAACAGTGGCTGAACTGCCAGAGACATGAACTTTTCTGGGCTCTTTTCTGCTCCAGGAAAGAGATTTAGGAGGACATGTCACTGAAACTCAAACAGGATTTTTTCCTATATGTAAAAAGGAGTCTGTGTTTTCCTCTAATTTCCCCTTCTGGTATATTTTTTTTTACTTCCTCTGATTTTATCAAGGAGGAAGAGCACTTCCAGCAGGCTCTAAGAGCCTGTGGTGTTAATACTTGGAGGTTTCTAATTGTTTCCAGCACAGGGACAGTCAGCCTCATTCCCCACAAGAGAGAAGACTGGCCCATGAGGCTTTCTCTCAGACCCCTTCGGGAAGCCAACCCTCCTTATCTGAAATCTCACACAATCTTATATGTGATTTATAGGCTTGTCTCATCACAGAGGTGCCGCAAAATACAGGACAGAGATTGGGGATCAGACACTCATTAAAATCCCAGCACCACCCCTTCCTCGCTGGGCAATGTTGGCATATAGACATTCAGTACATTTTTGCTGACCCAACATTAGTAACTAAGTATTGGTCTTTAGTCAAAAACAGCTTTAATGACCTAACACTCTTCTGTTGACTTTGCTCCTCCCTTCTAAGGGAGGGATTTCTGTCAAAATTATCTCCCCAAATCTCAGTCATCAGAATTTTGGGGGGCTGAGGATGGGATTGGTTACAAGGCCAAGCTGTCCTCTGCTTTAACAGTAGGCATAGGGAAGGATGCACGTCCTCAGGGATCTGCTCCAGAAGAGCAGCATCCGGGGAAGTCGGCCTTAGAGGAGCATCTCCCAGACATCTGCGTCACTGCCTGTGGCGCAGAGACATGTTCAGGATCCGACCTGCAGCCCTACAAAGATGCCCACCCAAAAGCAGAAAGACTAGGTTAGAACCAGAGTAGATGAACACACATGGGTGCATTCTGTTGGGAGTTCCCAGGGAGAGGAGTTGCCTGTCATTAACCCGACCACACGTGGAATACTGCCTGATTCCCTTACCCTCAGAAGTTCAGAGACTCTGCTAACCAAAATGAAAGCTTGCAAACATGGCTGACGCCCCCCGCCCCCACCTCCATCCAATCTGTCACCTCTATCCCATCCCTTCTACCTGAAGGCACAGAAGTTCAGCTGGTATATCCTCCAAGAACCCAGAATTTCATTTGTAATAGATATCACAGCACAGTGGACACCCAGTGTGTGCTGTGGGCCTTGATATATTTCGTTGATCACGTCTCCTTGTTGAGACTTTGTGGCTCTCTTGGATAAAGGAAAGGAGTTCTGATGGCGCATTGGTAAAGCGCTTGGCTACTAACCAAAAGCTTGTCAGTTTGAATGCTGAAGGAGAAAAGACCTGGTAATCTGCTCCTGTAAAGATTAGAGCCTAGGAAACCTATGGAGCAGTTCTACTCTGTCACATGGGGTCTCTATGAGTTGGAATCAAGTTGAAGACACCTAACAGCAGCAACAAGAACAGGATAAAGGATGCTCTCACTGTCCAAGTTGCTGACATCCACAGTCCCCTTGGCCCCCTCTTATGGGAAGAATAATAGTTGTCAGCTTGTCACACTGTGATGGCTTTTGTATTGCTATGATGTTGGAAGCCATGCCACCAGTATTTCAAATATCAGCAGGGTCATACATGGTGAACAGGTTTCAGTGGAGCTTCCAGATTAAGATAGACTAGGAAGAAAGGCCTGGTGATCTACTTCCTGAAAATCAGCCAGTGAAAACCCTATGGATCACAACAGAATATTGCCCAATGTAGTGCTGGAAGAGACTACAATAGCCGCAACAATGGACTTAAACATACTGATGATCATGAAGACGATGGGGGACGGGGCAACATTTCATTCTATTGTATATGGAGTAGCCATGAGTCAGAGCCGACTCAATGGCAACTAAAAACAAAACAACAACATGTTTATTGAGGTCTTACTATGTCCAGGCATTGTTCTAAGGTCTTTATTTGTATCAGTGCATTCAATTTTCACAGCAACCCTACCAGGATAGGAACTATTATTATCACCATTTTATAGGTAAGGTCCAGAAGGAACAAGTGCTTTGCCTAAGTTCCACAGCTACTAAGAGTCAGAGTCAGTATTCTGATCTGTAGTGCCTGACCCTGCATATCAGCCAAGGTGTACTGACTCCTACTGGAAGAGGAGAGAGATTGCACCTGGCCTATCACACAGGCCCGTAACACTCAAGGGAGGGAAAACCCTGCTCTGGCTCAGGCAAGCCGTCTTTGGGGGAGAGAAAAAAAAAAAAAAACTATACAAAACCATACAAAAATGTATTTTTAAAATCCAACAATATTACTCACTAGAAGACTCCGGTCCCCAGCCGCCTTGGATAAAGGGGGTTTGCAGTAACGTAGCTTGAAAATTATGCCTTCACCTGGGTACTTCAGGGAGCAGCAAAAGTTGAACCAGCCCTAATATTTTGAAATCATTTCCCCTCCTAAGAAAGTGGTAAAGCCTAAAGGGTAAAATCCTACTAAAGCAAGCAGTGGCGGGCCTTGGTAGCGGCCATTCCAAAACCTTCTTGTCGGCTTTATGGACCCGACTTGTCGCCAGAGCCCTGAGCTGGCTCCCTCGTGTTCTGCATTCGAGACCTATTTTGCAATGTAGTTGAATACAGACTTTTCTTTTATGGTTCACATAGGAAGCCTTCCGAGGCTGGCTTTGACAGCCTGTTTAATAAATGCATAAAGCTTTGGTATCTTAGGCATACCAGGCTGTATTTTTTAAAAAGCTTGAGGCCTTGGCAACATTAGGAACTAACAACCCGATAAATCTCAGTTTCAAAAAGTATGATTATGTTTGAGTTTTAAGAACTCCAGCTGCTGTGATTTCTGGTTTCCAGACGTGTGCTGGACGTGGGTTACTCCACGCCGCGTTCGCTCGTCTCTGCACATTATTATTTCATTTCCTCTAGCATTTACAAGGAAATTCACAACTGCAGAGTCTTTAGCCATCTTTGATTACGGTAATCTTCCCAGTGAGGTCATGAAGCAGGTCAGAAGCACTGGCAGAGCTTTAGTATAGCAGAGAAAACTGTAGCTCCGACATCACCCACCAAAGACTGCATGCAGCATTCTTGGGAAAACCTAATCCAGAACGCCTAACTTAAAAGCTCATTGTCCACTCATGACAAGAGCTAATATTCTGTGAGTGCTGATGATGTGCAAGGCACAGGGCTCAGTGCTTTACCTGTGTTTTCTCCTTTGTTCCCCGTAACCACCCTGTGAGGTGCTATTGTTATGCCCCTTTTACAGATGGGCAAAATTGAGGCTGACAGAAATTACTTGTCTAGGGTTGCACAGCTGCTGAGTCATGGAGTCAGGATTTGGGACACAGATCTGTCTGACTGTTAAAGCCCAAATTCCCTTAACCACTATGCCATGCTTCACTGCCATTTCGGCCTGTGGACTGATATAGTCTTACCAACCCTGGAAGTCAGTGACACTGGGTCTTCTTTTGTAGGGCACGATTTTAAAAGTGTTAGATACTTGGGTGATGCAAATGGTTTAAGAGCTTGGCTGCTCACTGAAAGGTTAGAGGTTCGAGTCCATTCAGAGGTGCCTCAGAAGAAAGGCCTGGTGATCTACTTCTGAAAAATCAACCATTGAAAACCCTGTGGAACTCAGTTCTACTCTGACACACATGAGGTCGCCATGAATTGAAATGAACTCAATGGCAACTGGTTTGGTTTTTTTGGCTTAGGTAAATACGTGTTTTGTGTGAAAGGCTTCTCCTGGAAGGGTAAAGAGGAGGAAGGGTAGTTGAAAAGAGAAACGTATATAATGCCATTCTGCGCCTGTTTTAACATTTAGAGTGGACTTTCTCAACCCCAGCATTATTGACATTTGCCACAGATAATTCTTTGTTGTGGAAGACTGTCCTGTGCATTGTATGATATTTAGCAGCATCCCTGGCCTCTACCCACTAGATGTCAGTAATGACTCCATCCCAGTAGTGAGACAAATGTCTCTAAACATTGCCCAATGTCTCCTGATGGGCACACGCACCTCGGGTTGAGAGCCGCTGCTCTACATGGTAATTATATTCTTTCCTTGCTCATCCAGTACAGAGATGGGGCTTCTCATGTTATTTGCATGCAACACAGCCAAGCCTTGGAGTCAGGTAGAGTTGGCCCTGAGTCTCTGCTTTGACGCTTTTTTTTGACCCTCTCCTCTGAGTTCCCCTAGTTAAGGAAATGGACAGAGATGAGTAAAAGAATAGCAAACGGTGGGAAGCAGCATATAAGAAGTAATAACTCAGGAGCTCAGTGGAGAGAGGGCTCTGAGGGCTTCTCGGAAGAGGGTGCCTTCAGCTGGACTGCTACACTCATCTCTGTCTTGTTGCATCCAGGCCCAGGCATTGCATTTGTGGTTTACCCGGAAGCCTTAACCAGGCTGCCCCTCTCTCCATTCTGGGCCATCATCTTCTTCCTGATGCTCCTCACTCTCGGACTTGACACTATGGTAAGCCCCTTCCTTGACTGATCCCTGCCCCAGGCTCCTTCTGAAGAACACCTTTCTGGGTCCTGTGCCCAGCCTGGGGTAGAGAGGTGGAAATAGGTACCTTGACATTTTCCCTGAGCAGTGGAGGGATGCTGACGTACCTGTCCAGGGCTCAGGATAACCCAGGAGTCACCAACATCCTGAGGGGCAGGCTAGCGTTTTCGTATTTGTCGGTGACTTCTCTCTCCTTCTCTTTTTTCTCCCTGCCAAGTTTTAGCCTGTGTACTACTTCCTACCTTGGTGTCATTTTGCCAAAGCAAATTCTGTGGGGCTGGATAGGAGAATAATAGGAAGTCAAATTTAGGGAAATTGTTGTGCGGCTGAGATGACTACAAATCAGGCTGACAGGCTCTCAGATCTTAGTAGTTGGGTGCAAAGGGGGCTGTTCCTCAAGAAGATCAAATGACAGGTAAACTGGAGAAGAAGAATTTACATCTCATGAATACAAAGTAAATCTTAAGGTGTCCTGATGGATGAGTACTAGTGCTGTCTGTGGGAAGTGAGAGGTGCAGTTTCTAAATCTCACATTCTGCTTGTTCTCCTGGCTGGCCTGGGGATTGCACCCCAAAAAGGCCCTTTAATCCCATCAAGGGAATGGAACCCTTAAACCAAATTTCATACAAATACAACTTCCCCTGGTGAGAAGAGCACGGGGCCTTTTGGAAACTTCTGGGTTGGGCAGTTGGTCTCAGAGGCCCCTTTCCTGGCCCTGTTCCAGTTTGCCACCATCGAGACCATCGTGACCTCCATCTCGGACGAGTTCCCCAAGTACCTGCGCACGCACAAGCCGGTCTTTACTCTGGGCTGCTGCATTTGTTTCTTCATCTTCGGCTTTCCGATGATCACTCAGGTAAGCTGCCTGCTGGGCGCAGGCTTGGGGTGAGGGTGAGTGGCCAGGCTGACATTTGTCTATCCTTTCACTTTTAGCTCTCAGACCTCATAGCCGTAGCCAAATAGCTGCCACTTCTATGTAGATGGTACCAGGTCATCAGGGATGCTGACTGCAGAGGGAAATATGTCATCTTGGCTACTAGTGATGTTTCTAGCATCTTTATAATTGAGATGTAGCTTTCTTGAGCCAACAAGGCAGGTGTGTCCTACTTTAGGAAGATAGAATACATGAAAATACAAATTTACCGACCAGATAAACTTCTAGGTGATTACTTTTCAGGGGTCAACAGCCAACCTGATTTCCAAGCAGTCCAGAGTGGCTTAGTAAATACATATATATATGTGTGTATATATATATATAAATCAAACTCGTTGCCGTCAGGTCGATTCCGACTCATAACAACCCTATAGGACAGAGTAGAGCTGCCCGATAAGGTTTCCAAGGAGCCGCTGGTGGATTCAAACTTTTGGTTAGCAGCCGAGCTCTTAATCACTGCGCCAGTCCTGAATAATGGGCTGGTAGTGTAGTGGTTAAGTGGTCAGCTGCTAACCAAAAGGTCAGCGGTTCAAATCCACAACCCGCTCCTTAGAAACCCTACAGGGCAATTCTACGCTGTCCTATACACATACACGCGCGTGCGTGCCCGCGCGCACACACGAATACACATATATATGCATGTAGATGTGTAAGGACTGCCCAGAAACACTTAAAGGTCATATGAAGGTCAATCAAGTGGAGACATACAGATGGAAGTGATCATCTATTGCTTAAAGCAAAAAACAAAGCTATCATTTCATCTGCTTTCACCTATACATCTTCAGGCATTGATCTTTGCCTCTTAAGAATAAGTTGTTAGATCATTTTCTGTGCTTGTTCTATTGATTAGCTTAGAGTCTTTCCAGGGACTGCTCTGTTCACATGACAGGGCCTCCATTTTACAGACTGGACCAGGGTGAGGTTCCTGCTGTCAGCAAGAGGGGCGAGGGGAGGGCCTTTAATTCCTGCTTGCTCTTGACTCTCTTCAGGGTGGAAAGGACTGGCTGTTATCAGTGGGGAGCGAGCCCAGCTACAGACATTTGAATGTTGGTTGTTTCTCTTTCTTGTTAGGGTGGAATTTACATGTTTCAGCTTGTGGACACCTATGCTGCCTCCTATGCCCTTGTCATCATTGCAATTTTTGAGCTCGTGGGGATCTCCTACGTGTACGGTAAGGAAATCACTGTGCCTGCTGCTAAGGTAGAACGTTATCACTGGTGAGATGTTCATGGCAATCAAGTTTTCCATGTACAATAAGACGATGAAAGGATTTAGTTGCAGCTATTTAGGAAACAGAAAGCTTTATTTCCAAGCTTGCCTCAGGACCACTGTGATCCAGCTTTAATGGAGGAAGCATAAGGGAGTTAGTGGTGAAACTCAGAAACCTTTGCATCAGGACCAGGACACGCCTTGTGATATGATCTGGCATGCGAACAGTTAATGGTTGTGGACCTTGACCAGATGGGGGCTGCCTTGCAGGTGTGAAGTTATTTCCTGGTCTTGGTAGCTGTAGTCTCCATGTAGCTTGAGGTGAGTGGTAGCTTCATGGATCATCCAGGGATACTGTAGTGAGAACAGAGACCACCTGGCTCACAGATGCTTAGAAAACTTTGTTAGCATCATGGGGGCTTAGATGCAATATCTCAATCCCAGCTTTTCCCAGGAATAAACTTCCAGTTCCCTAATAGTTTAGCCCTTCCTATAATCACCATGGCAACCTGCAGGCCATTATCAAGAACAATAGGAGTGATGAGCTTGCAGATGCCATCTTCACCCTTCATTGGGAGGTATTTGTGCTTGGAGATTTCTCCAGGTGATCTCCTGGACCCCTTGTATGCGCTGGCCAGTCAGCACAAGGAAGTCCTATCTGATCAAGGCACTTTTGGCATCTTTATGCCTAGGAGTTTGCTCAAAGACTTCCCTCTCCCTGGGTGGTGCAAATGGTTAACACACCTGGCTGCTAACTGAAAGTTTGGAGGTTTGAGTCTACCTAAAGGCACCTTGGAAGAAAGGCCTGGCAATCTACTTCCAGAAAATCAGCCATTGAAAACCCTATGGAGCACAGTTTTACTCTGACACACATCGGGACACCATGAGCCGAGGTGACTCAATAGCAATTGGTTTTAATATAGATAAAGCCTCCATAACAGATATCACAAAGGTGAAAAATTCTAGTTCAGACTATCTAACTGTACTTCAAAACTAAAAAGAGATAGCAACATGCTGCAAGTTCAAAGTAAATACAGGGTATCACTAGGAATGCATGATATGAGTAAGGGACAAATATGCTATCTGGAGCCTGAAGGAAGAGAGGTCTGCAGAGCTCTGCCCTTTAAGCTGGGGGCCCAGCAGAGCTCACCCTAACCACCAGGTATCCTTGATATGAACATCTTGCTTTTAATACAATTGTTAGCCTCACACCTAACAGTTGCTCAATAGCATCTTGCTTTCCTGAAAAACTCATTAAAATTGGGTAGGGGAGGAATCAAGACGCAAAAAGGAAATCTCCCATGTCAAACTTGAGTACCCACAAACTTTTGGGTGTTGGTGGAAGAAGAATTTGTCTTGGGCTAGAAATCACATTTCTGTGGCAGGGAGGGTTTTGTTTCAGGCAAGAGAAGTGGGCAGGCATGCCAGCTGCCCTGATAGGATCAGAGACCAAACGGCCAGCACTTTGGGCTGATAAGACAGCCTGGTCCCTGCAGTGAGGGTGTGATTGAAGACCTGTTATTGGAGTTAGGATGAGGTTTCCAGGTGATTGCTACCTGAGCAGAGAGTGGCGGAAACTCGGTGAGGTTAGCCACAATGAATCTTAACTTTCTGCCCAGATACCAAAGCCCTGGCCATGGAGAGGGAGGAGAAGCCTCAGAGGTCCTCCATTGGAAACTCTACCCGTCATGGTTCCAAATGCAAGCCCGAGGTCACCAGATGGTCTGTTGGCAAAGGCAGGAAAGCACTTCATTTGCAGCACTGGTCCAAGTGCAGGTAGCAATCTCATTACCTCCACTGTTATCCGTATCCTCAGATAATTGCCACAAAAGACACATTTGCACAGTTCTCTCCTGCAAAATAGGGCTGCTCATTGTGGTTTAAAAGCATCATTACAATAGAAAGCTGTTAACATTTCTGTTTTTAGAGGTAAAATACTTCCTCCTTGCACCCATATAAAGCTCGTAGCTCATTTCTTGGTTTTGAAGAAAAAATAAATCCTGAGTGCCTCAGTCCTTGGGCTCTGCTAGTTTTTCTGGGCACCAGCCAGGAAAGCCCATGGTCTCTCAGGGTGCTGGTGCTGGGCCAGCCTCCAGAATCAAGGTGGCTCTGCACTGAGCTCAGGCTGAACTTCATTTCGGCAATTCCAGGTGTGGGTGTGAACGTACGATTTGGTCCTGAGTGGAGGAATGTTGAAAAGTGAATCTCAGGAAGACTTATTTGAAATAAGCTAACATAATTGTCAGAGATGAAAGGAAAAGCCTGCACAAGTATATAAATTACACCCCAGGGGACAAAACATTCTTTATTGAGGCAATGAGGCTCAAAACTAGTGCAAGATTAGTTTAAGGCAGTCGGATCTGAACCTGTGAAGAATAAAAATGAACTTGACTGGTTTGGTGCATTCCCTTCCTGGCTGCAGAATTTTAAACATAAGCAAGTGAATTGCAGACATTTCTGTTTCCTTCTTGCTTTAAATAATGTCTAGACTCTAGATGGTCTAGAGGCTGTTGCTCAAAGGTTTGAAATATGATGAGTATAATTCTCAGATTTGATCATTAGGTTGAAATAGTTGATTGAAGCTCTCAATATTCCTCACAGGCTTGTAGCTAGGTTTGAGGTATCCAGGTTTAAAAATGGAACTCCCTGGGTGTGGTGAAAAAGCTAGCTCTCTCTCTCACTCTCTTTTTTTATTGTTGTGAAAATATATCTAACACCACACTTGCCAATTCAGCATTTTTCAGGTGTACAAATTAGTGATACCAATTACATTAATCATGTTGTGCAACCACCACCCATAATCATTGCCAAATTTCCCATCACCGTAAGAAACACTCACTGCTCCCTAAGCAGTGGCTCCCCTTTTCCCCTCCTTCCTGCCCCCGGTAACCACTTTGGTCTCAAACTACATTCGTCTATCCTTGTTAGGAGCCATCTCTTTAATACACTTTTACCTAAGTAGAGCCACTTTGAAAAAGTGACTTGTGTTTTACCGGGAGCTGATACAGGACCTTCTGGCTGGGGGACCACATGATTGAACAGCTGCCATGAAGACTTTCTGTGTGTGAATTGCTCGGCTCCACATTGTGCATTTTCCTCAACCTCAATGTGTTAAATTGTCACCCTCTGTTTTCCACCTCAATCAATTACGTGTTTCACACCCCTCCCCCAGACCACCTCCATCCATATCCTTATGAAGGATGTTAGATTCACACCTCGCAATGGCTTTTGTGCAACCAGAATGCTCCTTAGAAACAAGGATGGCGAGATGTCGCACATACTTTCGATGTGTTGTCAGGAGGCATCAGTCCCTGGAGAAGGACCTCATGCTTGGTAAAGTAGAGGGTCAGTGAAAAAGAGCAAGACCCTCAATGAAGTGGATTGACACAGTGGCTGCAACAGTGGGCTCAAGCATAACAACGATTGTGAGGATGACGCAGGACTGGGCAGTGTTTTGGTCTGTTGTACATAGGGTCACTATGAGTCGGAACTGGCTTGACAGCACCTAACAACAATAACAACAATGGCTTTTGTATGGTGGAATGTGTCTGTTTTCAGTTCTCATTGCCCATCCCGCTGGCTGAACCTATCAAGATTTTAAGGATAAAAGAAGCAAACCAATTAAAAACAAAACCAAAAATTCCCCCTGAAAAAAACACTACAAATTCAAGCTTAATTTTTCCCTCCATGATCCCCTTCCCTGTGCCCCCTTTTCATTTATGCTCTTGGCTGAAATCATTTTGTACCTTCTTTTTAGGGTACAGGGCCCCCCAGTTCCATTTGCTGGGGCTCAGTAAACAGAAGGAATAAGACTTCAGTCCATTAGTAACTCATACAGTGAACAACTATTTATTAAGTGCTTACTGTATGCCCTATACACTCCTAGGAGAAGGTGGGGGGGATATGGGTAATTTCCTACATTCATGGAACTTGTCAGCTAACTACCAGCTTGCCAGCTAGCTATGGAGGAACAGCAAGCCCACTTAAAACACTGAGAAAAAGGTAAGTGTTAAACCATGCAGCTCTGGCTGGAGGCACTTTCACTGCTCAGAGATAAGGAAGGGCCAGAGTAGTCAGGGAACCCTTGAGAAGGTGGCATCTGAGAGAGAAAAGAAAAGAAAGACTGAGACTTAGTGAGTGCTAACTGAGTTTATTGCCACTAAGGCAGGGGGTTCCTAAGCCAATACAGAAGGATTGGGCTCTGAGGGACGACCTTCAGATGAATGGTGAAGGGATAATTTGGAGACCTTACGTGTAGTGTAGAGCCCACCACCACCTGTCTGTCAGTTGTCGAACTGTGGTGACTTACATGTTGCTGTGAAGCTGGAAGCTATGCCACTGGTATGTCAAATACCAGCAAGGTCACTCATGATGGACAGGTTTCAGTGGAGCTTCCAGACTTAGACCAGGAGGAAAGTCTCAGTGATCTACTTCTGAAAATCAGCCAATGAAAACCCTATGGATCACAACCGAATGTTGTTTAATATCGTGCTGAAAGATGATCCCCCTAGGTTGGAAGGCACTCACAATACACAGTGGCCATGACACTGGACTCAAGAACACCAATGGTCGTGAAGACAGCGCAGGACTGGGCAACAGTTTGCTCTGTTGTACATCGGGCCAACAGGAGACAGAAGCGATGTGATGGCAACTAACAACAGCCCGTATAAAGCAGTGGGGAATACTTGCAGATGCACAGGACCAACTATTCATCTGCAGGACCCAGTGCAAAGTGAAAATGAGGGGTCTTTGTTAAAAAATTATTAAAAATTTCAAGACAGGAGAGCAGAGCATTAAAGCAAGTGTGATGCCCTTTTTGAGCATGAGTCCTATGGTATGTCCTGTACAATTTGTATGCCTAGGAAGGCAGCCTTGGATTCACAGTGGGGAGAGCAGCTCCTATGAAGATTCTATCCAGACCAAGAGCAAGGTCAGGTTTATAAAGGCAAAAGCCACAAAGCTGCACAGGCTAAAGAAAGTGATTGGTTGATTGAAGCAAGTCCTTGGCTTCTCAATTCAGATTGTTTGGTTGTATGGAGTTCATTGCAGGTGGATTTCTGAGCCCTAAATCCTAGACTTGTTTGTCTGCTAATTCTGACTCATTTTTGAGCAGCTATTACCCTGATCCCTTCTGGGCCCTGACTACTTGCTCTCTAACCCTTCCTGGCTCAAGGTCTTGCAATAGGCAAATCTCTATGCACATGCTCAAGCCTCCATAAACTATTACTTTACCATGAGTTGGGCCTTGAAGGCAAGAAGGATTTGGGTTAGTGGGAAGAACAGAGCAGGCAGGGAAAGCTATATAAACAAAGGCCTAAACTGAAAATCCCTGGAGAAGGATATCATGCTCGGTAAGGTAGAGGGTCAGAGAAAAGAGGAAGACCCTCAACAACATGGATTGACACAGTGGCTGCAACAATAGGCTCAAACACAGCAATGATTGTGAGGATGACGCAGAACCAGGCAGTGTTTCGTTCTGTTGTACAAAGGGTCTCTATGAGTCGGAACCAACTTGACAGCACCTAACAACGACAAACAAAGTAAATATTACCATTGACTCAGTTAGGGACTCAAGGGAGAATTTTGGGTATGAGCCAGGGTATAGTGAGGGCTGAGGCTGATGATGGAAGGCTTGGAGAGTCTGACTCCGGAATGTGCACGGGGAAGAAGGGAGATGGTTGCCTGGCAACTCCCAGCTGGTGCGCCACCTGGCTGATCTGTAGGACTAGCCTACAAGTTGGCAGAACAGGCAGAACAATCACAGGACCCAGAGCCTGACTGAGTGAGAGACCTCATGTTGGGAGGCCCAGGGAGGGAGATGACCTGCCAGGGTCAGAGCTGGCCCTGGAGCCCAAGCTTTCTCATTCTCAGTCCCAGGACCAGTCCTCTGCATCAAGCTATCTCTTGCTGAAAACTGAGCATGCATCATCTGCCTCTTCCTACAGCTCTGGGTCTACCTCTCTGTCCCCCTGGGGAAACGTGAGCACTTTACTGTGACCCCTCCTCTCCATAGGAGGTTATCTGTGTCTTCCTCAGGTCTTACCTTGAGCCCTGTTGCTTCGATTTCCCCAGTCAAGCCATCTGGAGCTACCATCTCTCAGGGGTGGTTTGGTGGAGAAGAATTGATTCTGATAACAGAAATTTCTAGAATCTTTTTTTCTCCCTCAGATCGAAGTCTACTTTCAGTATCTTGGGTATGTTTTTGAGGGTCTTGGCTCTGTGTTTTATTTCTTTGGTTCTCTCCACTCACTTATGCCCAGAGAGCCTAGTGTCCAGAGACTGTTCATCTGAAAGTCTTGGATAACACTAAAGGAAACAAAAATATCCAAAGATGGTCAGGTCAACTGCTGGAAGCATGCAGTTCTTGTTTATGGACACCAGGAAGCAACCTGGAGCCCCCTTGTGTTCATGGACTGACCTCTCCAGAAGGGCCCTAAGAACTTATCTGGCCCAGGCCCCCTAAAAGCCTTGGTGGCGTAGTGGTTAAGAGCTCGGCTGCTAACCAAAAGGCTTGCAGTTCAAATCAACCAGCTGCTGTTTGGAATCCCTATGGGGCAGTTCTACTCTGTCCTATAGGGTTACTATGAGTCAGAACTGACTCGATAACACCTCACAACAACAGTCCCCCCAATGAACCAACGAAGTCTCAGGAGGGGGATTGCCTTTACCTAAGATCACACAGCAAGTTAGAGGTAGAGCTGGGGTTCAACTCTTGGATACTAACTCCTGGTCCAGTGCTCTTTCCACTTGTGGTTGGCCATTTGTAGTTGGCCACAATCCAATTTAGCTTAAAGCAGAACAGGAAGCTCAACTGACAAGTTTTAGAATGAGTTGAGAAAAGTTGCCTTTGGTGAGTTCCTGACACTGTTCCCAGCCATAACAAGTGCAAGACTTATCTGTCTTCTGTGGTGGCTGTTGTCAGGGGGCCTGGCCATCAGTAATGGTCATGAAGGCTGACTGAAGTTCTGGGTCTGTCTGGGCTTGGCATGGAGCAGAAGCAAATGTTAGGAGCTGAGGCCCACGGAAGTGTTTTGGGGTCCGTTATTTTGGAGGTAGTGACTAGAGTGGATTTTTTTGGGGGTAGGAGTAAACTTCAAAAATGAAGTATCGCATACATACAAGGAAGAGCGCACATCGTGAGTGTACCACTCAATGAATTTTCACTCCCGTGTAGCCAGCACCCAGATCAAGATATAAAACATTATTGGGACCACTTTTTCTGGAGCTGGGATTAACTATTCTGTTCCCTGGAAGAAATACCACAGCCTCTGCTTTCTGTCTCAGCAAGAGATTGTCTTCACTTATCACATCCGACTTTTCTCTGTGTAGCAGAGAGCAGGCCCTTGAGGAAAAAGGGCAGGAGAAGTCTGGACTGTGGCAGCCGTTGGCGGGGGCACTGGTCTCGTGAAGGCAGCCAGTATAGGTGGTGCACAGGGAGGAGATGGCAGAAGGATAAGAGATGACAAGGTGAAGGCTGGAAGAGGAGTGCTCCAAGACTGAATTCACCTGCTCCTCACAGGGTTGAGGGCGAAGGACCCAGAAACCCGATGGGGCTGAAAGCCAGATTTCAGAGGACCAAGTGGCCAAGGTCTAGAAGACCTGAGGAGGATGCACAGGGGATGATTCTCGTTGGGAGGAGGTGTCTGGGAAGTGAGAACTTTTCATGAAGAATGCCTCAGCCCTTCTTGACCTGCAGGGTGCCCACTTCTCAATAAATGACCCAGAGGATGAAGAAATGATGAGTGTTCAAGCCAAGACTGCCGAGCCCCTGGTCAGACTGCTGACTACAAAGGAGTTGACCTCGGAGGCCTTTCAGGCTCTGTGACCCCGCAGTTCTGAGAAACCATGCTCTGGCAAGCCCTCGAAAGAATGCAAGAAACCACTCAATTCTAAACATTCCTCTGTGGCATTTCTTTCCAAGGAGTGGTTTAAAAGCCTCCTTAAACAAGAGTGTATGAGGATGATGGTTAGGTAGGGCCATTAGAAAAAGTATCTCTTGTGCATTTTACTTAAGTTGATCGGTGACCAAAAAGACAGCAATACTTTGAGTTCCAGTGAAGTGGGCGAGGGCCACTTGGAGTTTATGTGGGTTTTTGCTGGCCATTATCATCCTACATAGGGCAGAAGTAGAATGACTCATTGGAAGAGTATCCTTGGGAGGGTGGAGAACAAAAGCGAATGTACGGTGACGTTTTCTCTAAATTCCAAGGCTTCCATCATACACTCTGCTTATTGACCACAATCTTAATTGGTTTTGCCAGAGTTGTAGCTAAGCACATAAGGCCACCTCAGAAAACAGCCGCATGTGAGTATGTCAGGCTGCGGCAGTGCTATGATGTCCAGCCTGGACTGGAACTGAGCTATCTTGATGTCACCATGGAATGACATTTTTGAACCTCACTGCACAGAGCATTTAATATCTACTTAAATGTTCAGTTTGCCCTGATCTTCCCAGCAATGAGTCATTTATCTGGTGGTTCCCTGCATACCAGGCTGGGACCATCCCTAGCCAGTGGTGTTTGAGTGAGGGCCTCTAGCCCCTGCTGCCCACCGCACCTCACCCCCTGCCATTGCACCTCAAGCTCGGTTTCTTCTTGTCTATTTGTAGGCTTGCAAAGATTCTGTGAAGATATAGAGATGATGATTGGATTCCAGCCAAACATTTTCTGGAAAGTCTGCTGGGCATTTGTTACTCCAACAATTTTAACCGTAAGGATTGCATGCTTTATTGTGCGAACAGAATCTTGCGTGTGCATATGGGGTTTTGTGTTTGAACAAGATGTGTGCCTGTGTATGAGCCTGGGAAGTTGAATTATTCTTCTCTTTCACATGAGGAGACTGAGGCTCAGAGAGGTGAAGTGACTCACCTCAGGTGCTTAGCTGGTCAAGGGTAGAGCTGGGCCTCATGCACAGGTCTTTGGGATACCCCTATGGAACATTTCCCACTGTATCAGCTGCCTCATATACTAATAGCAGATGCCAATCACAGCTGACGTTTACCACGTATTAGCCATGTTTCTGACCCTGTTCAAAGTGCACACTTTATATGTATTACCTCGTTTCTCCCTCACAGCATCTCTGTGAGGTTGGCCTTATAATTATGTCTATTTTAAAGACGAGGAAAGTGAAGCCTAGTCTTGTAACTTGCCCTGAATTATACACCCAGTAATAAGCACAGCCCGGCTTTGAACCTAGGTAGTCCGGCTCCAGAACTCATGCTCTGAACTACTACTAAATGTAACCACTCTACAGCTAACATAGCACTAATTAGACTTTTAGTGTTAATTCTTATTGCTTTTGGGGACAATCTTGTCATCCTCAAAGTGTGATGGTGACATTTGAGATTATCTGAACTTCCTCTTCTTAAAGATCAGACCCCTTCATATGTCAGTAAATCAGCACGGAGACTTACATTCACAGCCTGTTGCCTCCTTTAACGTGCCATAAACTGTCAGCTTTGTCCCACTCTGCCCCCAACCGCAGTCATTGATGGAGACCTTGCCTTTCCCCCTCCTCCTTCCTGGCTGGTTGTGGGTGTCGCCTCTGTAAGACTGCAGAGAGTTGACTGTATTACCTCCTGTCGCCAGTAGGTGGCACTAGAAACCAGATTAAGACCCTTGCTTTACCGTAAGGAAAGTGCCAGCCTCTCTAAAGGAAAAAGGGACAGGATGAGAGTAAAATTATAAAGAAAATATGTACCCTTGTTTCTTTTACTGCCACAGACATGAGTTTTAATCAAAGCACCTCAATTTCTTTCTGAAAGGTAAGAAGCTTCTACAGAAAAACCACTCAGCGTTTATCTCCCTCTACCCTCACATGGACAACGTCTTACTGAGGCCAACATCAGTACCACATTTTAGAGGCTATGATTTGTTTGAAAAGTCCCACCAATTTTGGTGCATGAGAATTGAAAAGGATTAAGATAGGTTTTCAGTCTCCTGAATTCAAGCCTGAATGTGTGTGTGAAGAACTCAGATTTACCTAACTGGTGAGAAGAAAACCTTTGTGAGCACCTTCTGTTGATGGAGATGCTCCCGCCTCTGATGTTTCTCATCTTAGCTGAGTGTTGCTATTTTCTCAAGTTGCTACCAGGGGAAAAAAAAATCGACCACCAACTTGTGGTAGAGTGGGTTCCGACTCATGGTGACTCCATCTGTGTCAGAGTAGAACTGTGCGCCATAGGATTTTCAATGGCTGATTTTTTTGGGAGTAGACCACCAGGCCTTTCTTCTGAGGCACCTCAGAGTGTACTTGAACTTCCAACCTTTTGGTTAGCAGCGGAGCACGTTAACCATTCATACCACCCAGGGACCACCACATGTGATTTATTCTTGGCTAACATCAAAGTCAGAATCTGTTCTAGATTCTGCCTTCCTTTTCCTCCTATCCTAGAAGACATTAAGCTACAGAGAATTTTATTACATTCTGCAGAAACATACCACATAATAACACTACTGTTTCTTGAGGCCGATTAGGAGCCAGACACTTAATGAACATTGTCTCTAAAGCTCGACCACCCTGCCTGGTGGGTGGTAATGCTCCCCACTTTATAGACGGAGAACTTAAGGAACTTGCCCAAGGCCACGAAGCTTACAGGTGGCAAGTCCAAGAATTGAATCCAGGGCTGTCTAGGCTGTAAGCCCATGCTCTGATACATTTCTAAAAACTCCAGTGATTTCATCTCCAAGTGGAATTTGGTCCATCCGGGATTAAAATACTCCTAATTTCTGGTGGCTCAGTGGTTAAGCACTCGGCTGCTAACCAAAAGGTCAGCAGTTCATACCCACCAGTGCTCCATGGGAGAAAGATGTGGCAGTCTGCTTCCATAAAGATTACAGCCTTGGAAACCCTATGGGGTCTTGACTTGGAAAGGACTCAATGGCAGTGGATTTTTATGGGAAACTTCTTCTTAGGCAGAATGTCAGAGAAGAGAATTCTAGGAACTTTCTGTGTTTTTTGAGATAGTTACTTAACCATGCTGTGCTTTACTTAATTCCCACTATAAAACTCATGTCAGAAACCTGTGGAGAAGTCACAGGAGATATCCTGAACCAGATTCCCCTTCTCTTTCATTTGGGAAACAGGGACAATTAAAAACAGTCAATTCCATCATCATTGTCAGCTGTTGAGTCTCTGTCCAGGGCCATCAACAAAAGGCCAGAGTGAACCTGACTCAGGGCCTAAATGATCGTTCTTCACGGCCAGGCCCATCCAAGGGTAGGAGTTTTATCAAAGCTGATTTGTCAGTAGGAAGTTTATGGCAAAGAACAAGTTTGCACAGGTTAGTTTGAAGTGGTATTTGTGCCACTGGAAATGGGAGTGAAAGGAGCAAATCCAAACACTTACCTTTTGCCATTTGCACTTCTGTAAAATGGGTATTTGTGGTGTGCTAGAATGGGCTAAGATTATCATTTAAATTACTTTAAAGCCCCTGAAATAAAAGTGATGATGTTTATATGTGCTTTTGTGGCTTTATAGAGCTATAAATATTCTCCATGCAATTACTGTATATATAGTCAGATCACGTTACTGAATTATGCCAAACATAAGCAGATGCTATTTATATAGTAAATGAAATGGAGCAACTTACCATAATTACATTAAGCCATACTGCCATTAGGCTAGTTAATAAAGCTTATAACTCTAGGGGTAAATGTTTAAAAAGAGGCCTAAAGTAGACATCTCTTTCTAGACGAACATTCTTTTTCAACGGTTGTCTTCAGGCTCATGTTGCTTAGAATCAATATATTGAATTATTGTTGCATTGAAATAACCACTCGCCCCAGCAGCCTGAGCTTTGCAGTAATAATATAGATGCCTTACATTTGTATGTGCTCCACGCGGTTCCAAAACACTTCCATGTGTTGTCTTTCCTGCATAATTCCCTCCAATCATTTTTGGGCTGTTATTTTACTGCTAAAGGTAGGAGGAAAGTGGGGGAAAGGACTTATGAGGTTAAATTGTTCTAGGCTGCTGCTCCTGTGGGCAGGATGAATACAAGGAACCACATAATTTTCTCAGGGAAATACCCGCCAAAGGCTTGGCGAGAGCAGTTAGAGTCCCTGTTCAGCTTCTTTAGGTACCTCTGGTTTCAGTTCGGAGTCCCTGGGTGGTGCAAATGGTTAACGTGCCTGGCTGCTAACTGAAAGGTTGGAGGTTGGTGTCCACCCAGAGGTGCCTCAGAAGAAAGGCCTGACAATTTACTTGGAAAAAAAATTAGCCATGAAAACCCCGTGGAGCATAGTTCTATTGCAACACACATGGCATCACCATGAGTCAGAGCTGACTTGAAGGGAATGGGCTTTTCGACTGGTTTCAGTGCACGTGTTCCCTTGTTCTCTGCAGGAAGCAAGTTTTCAGAGGGATTCTCACTGCTGCTGCCAGCCAGCGTGCACAGCGATCAGAGACAATGGGCAGAAAATAAATCACGACCTCCCTTATAATTGAGGGATGACTCTCCAGTAAAAACTAGGCTTTTGTTCCCAGAAAACCCCTGTGCTGTATACGCAGTGTGAAATATATCCATTTTACAGCAGAGAAGTCAGAGACATAAAGGGCCCTCAGCTCATTGGTGGCAGAGTCCAGATTAGCCTGCTGGTCTCTGGGCTCTCGGCCCACCATTTGGTGATAACGCCTGTTCACCTTGAGTCAGTGGAGGGGGGCAGTGCATCACTGTGTCAGTCCCCCGGCTTATTATAGGACCGAGCTTCAGGCTGTGGCACTGCTTGGGGACCTCTGGGTCTTACTGAGCCAGCTTTAGAGGCAGCTCCTGGATATGAGCCATTTTCCATTCAAAGGGAAAGGAAAGTAGCTTCAATTCATTTTTTAAAATTTAAACACATAAACTTAATGGGTTTCTTTCTTGTAAGAAAAGCTAATCAATCCATTATAGAAAGTACACGTAAGCCCTTGTCCTCAAAAAATCACCCACCATCTCCCCTCCCGCCTCCACCCATCAGTCACCTTGGTGAATATACTTTAAACTGGGCTTCTCAGCCTGTCTACTCTCTATATACCCATACTCATTGTTCAGTTCCCCTGGGATGGCAAATGCAGGGCCAGTAATTGACTAAGTGTGTGATCTTCAGGTGTTTCTGGGTGGTGCAAATGCTTAAGCTCTCGGCTACTGTCTGAAAGGTTGGCAGTTTGAACCCGCCCAGAAGTGCCTCAGAAGAAAGTCCTGGCAATCTACTTCTGAAAGTTTACAGCCATGAAAATCCTATGGAGCACAGTTCTACCCTGCCACGTGTGGGGTTCCCAAGAGTCGTAATCAACTCGATGGCACTGGTTGGGTTTTTGTGTGTGTGTGATCCTTACCCCTTTGACTTTCAGTTTCTTCATCTAGAAAATGGGACTAATGATACCTTCTTTTCAGGATAGTTATGGGTATAAAGTGCAATAATAGATACGAAAGCATCAAACTCATAGCAGGGACTCCATATGCACCTGCTGAACGAATGAATCATTCACATCACTGTTCTATCTCATGTGTTTCTCTTTTCTTCCCAGTTCATCCTCTGCTTCAGCTTTTACCAGTGGGAGCCAATGACCTATGGCTCTTACCGCTACCCAAATTGGTCCATGGTGCTTGGATGGCTGATGCTCGCCTGTTCTGTTATCTGGATCCCAGTTATGTTTGTGATAAAAATGTATCTGGCCCCTGGCAGATTTATTGAGGTAATTATCAGCTCCTTTCCCTTGCCATCCCCTCCCAAGGGAGAGCCCCTGAAAGCTCTGTGCATTAAAAAACAAAAGGTTCAGGAAACTTATTCAAGAGGGAGACTCGGTGATTAAGTGATCACAGCCACCACCGTTTCTGTTAAGCCCATTTTTATTATGTATTATTCCTCTAACCGAGGGGCTCAGCCGATCCGCGGGTGAGCTGTTATTCTGCCATTCCTCAGTGCGGTGAAAGCTGGGGAATAAACAATCGGGGTGTCTCCTTATTCCCTGGAGTTTCCCCTTCTCTCCCTCATCCACAGTTTAAACCCCAGTGTGTGTTTTTGACACATCAGATTCCCCCTTTCCTGATGATCCTGTCCATCAGAGCCTTCTCCCTCACAAATTCCTTTCTGGAGTTGCAGTTACATTTAAAATCACTTCCCCTTCCCTGTTGTGTCTTGAGTTAGTGATGGCTAAGGGGTCCAAGCCGATTAGAACGTTGCCCTCCCTGTAGAACGTAATGAGAGAGCCAGAGCAAGGTGAGACTTGTCCTTCTCTGTCAATCAATCCCTTGTTGGACTCATTTTCCATTTCTAATGCAGAAAGTCCCCACCCTCACTCCAGAGCAGATGGGAAGGGTACTGCTACTTGTTGAGCCACCAATGAAGTGTGGTCAGGCTTTTGTTATTGATGAGCAGTAATTTGCTCAGATGTGCTAGGAATAGTCAGCCTAGCCTCATCTTGGAGATCTGGGAGTCTGGCATTTTGGACTAGACCAATGTTACTCAGAGTTTGGTCCAGGGCCCAGCAGCATCAGCATCACCTGGGAGTTGTTAGAAATGCAAATCTGAGGCCCTGGCCTGGATCCACTGAACCAAAATTGTGGGGAATTGGGACCCAACTTCCCCTGGTGTCTGTAGTTTAACAAGCCAACTCCCCACCCCAGGTGATTCTGATGCTTCCTGGAGTTTGACAAGCATTGGTTAGACCAAGATAAAGAAAGAACTGCCTATAGAGGGCAGAGAACAGCTCTAGGGCCCTCCTCCTGGTCAGCTATAGGAGAAAAGGAAGAGGACCTTGGAGCAACCTGCTGAGGCTCATAGGGGAGAAGGGGATGAAAATAAGGCACGTGAGTAAATGCACAGCACAGAGGCCCATGTAAAGGGGAGGTAGCTTGTGTTTCCATTGGGCTAAAGATGGAGACAGAGTTGGTGAAAAAGAGGCCAAGGAGTCCCCTTACAAAGTCTGTATTCCAGTTTTCAGCCTCAGAAATTCTGCTCGTACACCTATTGAGGTGAATTGCCATGGCCCCACTGACCCCCCGAGAAGCTCACTGGTATCCCAGATGAACCTCCCCCACCCCTGACCCAGACATCTGGTTCGCTCCCTCTGAACAGAAGCTGGTTTAACCTCTGCTGCTTTTGTCTTAGCTAGAATTCTCTAAACGGATGAGTGTGCTCTATAAATTTATTATGGTTGATCTGGGACGCAAAGGTTGCAAACTGATGATTAAGGGGAGATTAAACTAACAGCTTTAAGAACCAGTTTCGCTTTAATAGGTAATAAACATAATCGTTCCCTCTTACATAGTCAGAAATATATTTTCTTTCCTTTTTCTATAAAATATTCCAGTCAAGTTCTATTTTTCTTTAAAAGTTCAGTTGAAGGATTAGAGGCATTCCCATTATTTTTAGCTCGCCTGTGAGAACCCACACTGCTGAACCAAGTCAGAAGCATATATTTTTGTCAACAGATAATTAAAATCTTTGCTCACTCTTGGCAATGTATCTTTGGGGTTGGGCTCCCCCCCCGCCCCAGTCATTTATATACTTTTGGGAAATATGCTAAACAAAACCCAATTATTTTGATGTAGCAACCCGCTGTTGAGACTACAGAACAAAAGTAATTGAGCACATGCCCTATGCAGACTGTTTGGCAATGGAGGGAGAAGCTTGCAGATTCTCTTCATTTGGAGGGAAAAAAATGTATAATTAAAATCTGGGCCCTTTATCCTCGATTAATTTTGTGCAAGGCAAACACTGAGCAGCAGTACATTGTAATATTGCTTGCAGGGTGATGTAAATAATTTCAAATGAAGCAAACTAAGTATTCTATTTAATGTCTCTGGCCTAGTTAATTAATGGGGCTGATCTTCTTAAGTGCTTCTCTTGGTGGGAGACCTCTTGGTTCAAGCAGGGACTCTAGCAAATGTGGTTATAAGCAGTTTGGGGATGGGTGGGTCCCAGAGGGCGGCGGGAAGGTACATTACTTCTGTGACCCTGTGTCTCTTTGGCTTCTTTGCAGAGGCTGAAGTTGGTGTGCTCGCCGCAGCCTGATTGGGGCCCATTCTTAGCTCAACACCGTGGGGAGCGTTACAAGAACATGATCGACCCCTTGGGGACCTCTTCCCTGGGACTCAAACTGCCAGTGAAGGATTTGGAACTGGGCACCCAATGCTAGTCTGATGGCGTGGGATGGTGGGGACTTGATCCCTGTTTTCCTTTCTGCCTCCGTCTAACATTTTTCCCAGCTTTCCTCCCATTTTTCTTCTTCTTTATCCCCATATTTTGGTTTACATCTGTGCATGAGCGAGGTTACGTAGAAACTTGGGACACAGTGTGTCACATGCTGTAGTGAAGAGCTAGACAGACCATTTGAAGTGCTCTGTGCCTGTGTTCATGGTGTCAGTTTCCGGTCAGGTTGGTCCCCTGAGCACATGCTTTATACAGCAAGAGTGCATCAACTAGGTGAAGCCTCTGCAGTGAAGTCACACATAGGTATGTGTGGTTTGTGGTTTGGTCAGTAGAGAAGTATCCACTGTGTGTGGTCATTGGGTGGTGCTAGTAAGGCATATATCAACCAACCAATTGCCATCGAGCGACTCTAACTCACGATGACCCCATGTGTGCCCCATAAAGTTTTTAGTGGCCGATTTTTCAGAAATAGATCACCAGGCCTTTCTTCCAAGGCACCTCTGGGTGAACTTGAACTTCCAACCTTTCAGTCAGCAGTTGAGCATTGTTAACCTTTTGCACCACCCAGAGACTCCAAAGCTTACATAGAATAGCAGACTTATAAAACAGTTAGTTTGGATTTGTCAGCATTGTAGAGCTGGACTGAGCAATATAATGGCCTCATTGAGACACAAAGGGTTCAAGACAGGGAATATTTAGAGCGTCAGCCATGGTTAGAAAATATTTTGGATGGAAGACAAGGCCAATAGATTTGGACACCACGGGGGTGGTTACGTTCACCCGTCTATTCACAATTGGAGCTCTGTTTTCTTCATTGGGACCAACTGTCTCAAGTGTGCCAAGGACTCAGCTACTTCCCTCTCTGCACTCTGCAAGTCTGAGTGCAGAGTCACTTCTCTTCTTCAGTCGTCATCTTTATTTCTTTTGAACAATCATGTATGTGAGTTCTTTTGGTCATTTCCCCCACCTCTGCACAAGAAGCCATCATATAATTTGTGCCTCATTTTGTACGTTCATAGTAGAGCTCCATTCTCGTTTCTCCATGGCGTTTGGCACTGTGGTTCAATGTCATGATCCCATCTTTCCTCTCTTATAAATGTCTTTCTATAAGCTGTAGATTCCTTGTCTTTCAGCCTTTGGGAAAACAAGATTTACCCTTGTTCTGTCTATATATTATATATATAGGACTCAAGCTCTTAAAAGAGATAACTTCTCAATTTTTACACTTAAATTTTTCATTCACAGTAAATGCCAACTGTGGTCATAGAGAAATCAAAGAAATGGAGAGTTTAATAAAAGGCAATCATAATATTCACTGAACTGGTAGTACATTTTAGGTCATCGTATTTACAGAAATTTCTGATAAATACAGCTTAGGTAAGTAGCGAGTGATCCAATTAAGACTATAGCTTTTAAGACTACATTTAGCCAATTCAGTTTAAAGAGTTCCCTATTCACAGTACTTATTGTAACTGCACTCTAATAAGAGTGAATCGTACTTCTGCAGAGATTGGCGAAGCTGTAACCTTTATTATCTTCTTGTATCCTGAACATGCATATGTGAAATTTTTATAATGTGCTACGTGTTCCTGTACTGTGTACTTGTGGTGTTTTCTGTCCTTACAAATATCTTAAAGAACCACTGTAGAGACGGTGAGTTTAGAACAATGTAGTCTGAGGTTTTGTTTTTTCTTTTTTTCCTTTACATTGCTAATATCTAAACCTAAAATTGTTTCCTTTAGGGGAGACCATTTCAATCATTTTCTTATTTGTCTTCATATTACAGGGTCTCAGGCAACATTTTCAGTTCAGATCTTGTCTATTGACGTGACATTTTCATCCCGTTCAGCAACAATGACGCCCAACAACAGACTTTGAACATTAAAAAAAAGAAATGACTTCATTTGTTTAAAAGAAAAAGTCTCAACTCATTTTACTGAGCTCTCCCTTTTCTAGGGCAAATATGGCTGTCATTTGCCAACGCTGACGTGTACTTCCAGTTTTCAAGAGTAGTCTGTGAAAAGCTTTAGAAAAGGAAACAAAGACTGGTTTTAAACTTTAGGTTTTCATGTCTTTTGTCTGCAGTGTATGTCTGTTCTTCCTCCTCCTTGTTCTTGTTGTCTGTCTCCTGAAGCTAGAATTTGCTGTCTGTCACAGAGACTGAACCCTGAGCTTCCCTGAGAGACTTAGCTTTGGGAAGCTGAGCTTCGGCCTCTCCTGTCCCAGTGTCTCCTGTAGCGACCTGTCTGCCGATAACATTGGTTTCCCTGAGAAAGCCATATTGACAAGAAGCCCCCATGCCTGTAGCAGATGTCGCATAGCAGCACCAAAACTTAGCCTCTCCAATTGATATCTGGCGGGGTGAGAGAGGCGGGGAGGAATGACTTAGGCCTGGAAATTATCTACAGCCTTTCCAGTTTGAAGGTTGAAGAAAAGAGCTTAAATCAATTAGGATTCTCTCACGGGACTGGTATGTTTGTGTCAGGACAAATGGTTTTTGGCTTTCCTCTCTTGTCTCTTGCCTAAAACTTGAGTCTGATGCTGGATGCTAACTCAATTTCTGCAAATTATTGCAGTTGTGATTAAAAGAAGAAAAAAAAAAACAAAAACCCACGGATGGCGCCAGGTTTGTTTTGTAGAAACTGAAAGTTTATTTAATGGTGAGGGTGGAGCCCTCTTTACTAGCTAGTGTGTTTTGCAGATGGAGGTGGCAAGGTTTGTGCTAATTAGGATTTGTCCAGTTAAGACCAAGTAACTGCGCACTGAGTGGCTGGTTTTCTTGTTGTTGTTTTCTCCTTTTCCCTACAGTTTCCAAGTTTTATGTAAAAGTTGCTTAAAGGCACGCTCAGGTGAAAGGTTCTGAACTTACCGGAAACTGTTACCTTAGTTTCTTCATGTCTAGAGCCACGTCCAACTCGGAGGCGTCCCTGGCAGGGCTGTGCTCAGCCATTGCCCACCCACTTGTGCTGCACCTCCCATAGACCTGGCTGGGACGCTAAGAGCTTAGATGCACACAACCAGATGGATGTTTCCACGCTATTAAAATGCACGGAGTCAATTGGAAGAAGAAAAATGAATGAATAAAAATAAAGCGAGGAGTATTGTCATAAACTGCCACCTGAGAGTTTCCGTTCAAACTAAGGAAAACAAACAAACAAAAATCTGAGTTGCTGAGGAAAGACTTTCGTTGGTTCGTCGTGCAGAAGACTGGGGCATTTTCCACTTGTGAGATTATTTCAGTAACACCAACGAATGCCAGAAACCCATTCAGAGAAAAAAAAAAAGCCATATGTGAAAAACAGTAACCCTATAATATCCTTATAAGGAGAAAAAAATGTATATTTATTAACTATTGATGTTGTGGCTTCTTATGCAAATGTTTGTCTTGCAAATTAGTAATTTTTAATCTCTTTAGGGCTGTGTTTGTCCCGTACAAGTGTGTGAAATTGTGCTGTTTTTCTTTTTTCTTATTTATTGCATGAAATCTGTGGTCAATGCACAATCTCGGATGATCTCAACTTCTCTGAAATTTCCGTGTTTTTAATATGCAAGAAATGTCATCAGCTTGTATTTCCAGGAGGAATAGCAGCACTTTAAAAGAGGAGTTTAACACAGTGACCTTTAGATGGATAAGACTTGGGTGGTCTTTATGCAAATGTTTCATTGGAGTTGAGTTTTCCTTTAATAATGTTCTCATTCTGTTACTTGTGCCTCAGTGCTTCCTGCCTGTCTTCACCTGTCAGCGTGGCTTTGCCATGACTGAAATTAACAGTTTTCTTTCCTCTTTGTTCCTCTGTCCATTGATCATTGTCCTCTTCCCAGAGACTTGCACAACACTGTTGCTCATTGAATTGCATGATGGCAAGATCATACTGCTGCTGTTGTGTCTGGATCTGAGTTTGCAACACGTATCTTTGAGGTAGATGATTCAAGTGAGGGTACACTGCCTGGCATGCTGTCTTGTAGGGCAGACAAAGGACCAAGGCCAGCCAATGAGCATTTTCCCTGTTTAACACTGGGATATCGTGCAAGAAACTTCCAGGCTGAGGGTAAAGGTTTGGGAGATTCAGTTTTGATACTAATTTCTCTATAAAACGGCTGCCCTAGGATTTGTGAAAGCAAAATCTTCCTATCTTTCCCAGATTTTGCTTCAACTGTCCAGAAAGGCCAAGTATTTTTGAAATGTGGCCTCTGCTCCGGTCACCTCGGAGCAACGTGCAGCCAAAGAGAAGGTGTTTTGCAGATTTCACATTCATCCCCTCTGAAAAGCAAGCAGTGGTTTGATTTGCCTGCCGTGGATTAAATACATCTTCAGGTAACCATTTGCCTTATAGGTGTATTCTTTTGTTAGGATGTTGCTTCGTAATGGACTAGGAAATGTTGCTTTTTGTTTTGTCACTTTTTTGTCTTTTTTTGCACTTTACTATGGACCTATCGTGGAATAGGTTAATTCTTAAATTGCATACTTGGCTAATGTCATAAATGCAGGCATCTTATGTGGGTACTGTTGCCTCTGAATAAAGATATGCTCCCTAATCAGGTCCTTATATTTTTTCATTAGCGATACATGAAGAAAATATAATATGTCACAAATGATGTGTCATATATATATCTTATAGAGCGCATATTATATATTGTGCATTATTCATTTAAGAAATCATTATTCTTGAGGCCCTACCTCAAATTTTGTATTTATGTGTACAAATGCAATTTATTGTATTATATATTTGCCTATTATATACTGATATAAATTAGAATTTATCGTAATTATGTATGAGTTCACAAAACCCTAAATAAATGTCAGTGTTTAAAACACGATGATTACAGTATTGTGTCTGTTACATTCCCACTACCCGTCATCTTTCTTTCTTAACAAATGGCTGCAGGTATCCACAGGATTGATCCCTTTTATTGTTAGGGACCTGGAACAGCAATGGCAAACTGACCTCCTGGGAAAATGAGATATTGTGCTGTTGCAGAAACAAA